CCCATCGTTCCGAGTCTTGGAGAGCGTTCCGCTGGCCAACGCCCCCAACGGCCTGGTCTATGTTCAGACCTCCCGGTTGATCAGGCTGCTACTACTGGCAGCTTGCAGTCCAACGTACGAACCACAGCCCGAATGGTCAGGCACTGATTTCAGAAATCTGCCCAGTTCCTTCTTGAAGACAACCAGGGGTCTATTGAAAGTCCTCCTTATGTATAATAGGAGGCAGTTGAACAGTCTTCGGCCACTGACGCAGTTTTCTCTTAGTGTACTCTCGGCACCCCTTCTTATCATAGATGGTATGTTGCGCCATATGCAACATACCCTCTATGAAAATTATCACGTATTTTTTGCGTCTGCGTTCCAAGGAGTACAGGTCAGGCGACCTCATCCGTTCCCAGTAATTAAGAGGCTTGACTGTACTTGTAGTGTAGGCTCTCTGCACATTCTCCAGATCTGCACTTTCACCTCCCTTGAATAGGGCTGCTAGTGTACAGCAGTATTCCAGCCTAGAACGAATAAATGAATTAAAGAGGATCATCATTGGCGTGGCATCCCCTGTTTTGAAGGTTCTCATTATCCATCTTCTCATTTTCCTCGCAGATGTGATAATGAGACTTGTGATCCTTGAAGGCGAGATCCTCCAACGTTATCACTACTAAGTCCTTCACATTAGTTTTTCACTCTATTGTGTGGTTAGAATTTCTTTCATACTCCGTTCTTGCTCTTATTTCCTTAAGTTTTCCATATTTGTCCTCAGTAAACGTCATATTATTTTCTGTGGTCCATTGGAAGACTTGGTTTATATTCGCTTGGAGATTTACAGTTTCCTTATTACATGACATTCATGCACGTTCTAGTTTTGTCTGTAAAGGAAGACTCGGTGTTATGGTTCACATCTATGTCTATGTCTGATATGAAAATGTGTAACAGGATGGGGGCGAGTACTGTATCTAGTGGAACAGTTTTTAATCGTGTTCTTGTGGTTAGAAAATTAAAAGATCCATTTTCTCACTTTTTCAGTTCTTCCTTTTGTACTCCGTGTGCTCTCACGCCATGATAACACTTGTCGAGGCTTCTGTAGAGTCTTTATATACTATGTCTGCATTCTGCTTGTCCTCCAACACAATATCATAGTGATCTATATTGCCTTGGGTTGTGCAGTTGTTGGGAATCCAAGAGACTGATCTTGCTGGCATTAAAAAAAATCCACCACTAAACAAGCAATATTGCAAGAATTGTATTTGCAAATATAGAAGGCCTTAAGCCATCCACCAACAACAAAAATACCTTTCATCAATGGACTCACGAGTTAAATACGATGTTTGTGGCTTTCACAGAGACCCCCCACACAAAAGATCACACTGATAACGAAATACGGATTTCAGAGTACAACGTATTTAGATGCTGTATAAAGAACAAGCAACAATGGGAGGGGAAGGTGTTGGCCTGTATGTCAGAGTCGCTCACTGATAACAGTTCAGGTTTTAGCAGCAAAGATTAAGAATTAAAAAGAATATTTTGAGCCATTTGAATGCTTTGTTTTGTTTGTAGTTTTCAAATTATTTTATGGCTTATCAATTTTTTTGTTACTTTTTTGGTAAGATTACTTTTGATTTTGCGTATTTTAGCTTTAGTCGTGACTTTACGGTTAATATAAGGTAATATAAATTTTCCTGAAATATGATTACATAATTATGTACAAAACTTATCAATATTAACTTTTATGAGAGAGAGAGAACATGAAAGAAGAGAGGGAGCATGAGAGAAGAGAGAGTATGAGAGGAGAGAAGAGAGAGTATGAGAGGAAAGAAAGAGAGCACGAGAGGAGAGCATAAGAGAGACAGCATGAGAGGAGAGCATAAGAGAGACAGCATGAGAGGAGTGAGAGAGAGCATGAGAGGATGGAGAGGCATGAATGAGGAGAATGAGGGAGAGAGTGAGAGAGAATGAGATGGAGAGAGAGAATGAGTGAGAGAGAATGAGTGAGAGAGAAAATGGTGAGAGAGAATGAGAGTGAGAGAGAGAATGAGAGAGAATGAGTGAGAGAGAATGAGTGAGAGAATGAGAGAGAGAGAGATGAGTGAGAGAAATGATGAAGAGAATGAGAGAGAGAGAGAGAGAGAGAGGAGAGAGAGAGAGGGAAGAGAGTATATAGAGAAGGGTCAAAACAATTCATTAATAATGCTATAACATCAATAATATTTTAGATAAAAAATATATAAATATGATTTTTAATTGTAACTCAGAAATATTCGAAGTATCGTTATTCAACTTGAACTGAAAGTAATTACGATCAGACCTATAATTTACTATAATATCCTATAATTTACTATATCCTATAATTTACTATATCCTATAATTTACTATAATATCCTATAATTTACTATATCCTATAATTTACTATATCCTATAATTTAACTATAATATCCTATATATACAGTAAGTTCATTACTACGGGTCACTTGCATGTCCTTTTCGAACATATTTTTTTTTTACTAATATAAAGCACTTTTTTTTTTACCAGACTTAAAATATACATTAAAAGTTTTCTCCGCAGGACAAAACTTATCGCTGGAAAAAAATTACGTTTTAACCCGGAAAGGAAAAAAAAATAAATTCACGCAACTCAGAAACTACTTCTGGGGTTCTTTACCATGATTCAGGAAATTCTCCATTTATTTAAATCGTGCAAGACGCAATTTTCGAAACCAAGCTGTAATATCCTGGGTTCACGCGGCAGCGTTTGAGTACCTCTCTGCAATCTCCCGAAGTCGCGCTGGAGTCTTCCGGAACCGCGCTAAAATTTCACGGGTTCGGCTTGGTATAACTGAGAATCATGTGTATGCAGTGTTATTCAATACCGACAAGCTGATGAATAAAACACGTTCAGAAACTCGGTATCTTTATTTTGTAGACTTTTCGTCAACCAGTGACTTTTTCAAATACACTACAAAGGACATTTTGAGAATGGTATAAAATACTGACAAGTTGATGAGTAAGACACATGTGCAACAGTTCGGTATCTTTATTGTCGAAACGCTTCGCCTACACAACAGACTTCTTCAGTCAAATACAGAGACAGCAAGTGTAGTAGTGAAATGAAGATGACGTAATCAGTCCATGAACCTTGGAGAAATAGAATTTGAGGTGGTCAGCCTCTCAGCCTGTAGAAGAGTTCAGCTCCATGGTTTCGAACGATATCATGGACATCAACGGAATACTGCAGGAGATAATCGGTCCCTCAGCCTCTCAGAATTACATACAGAGGACAGTAGGTGAGGTAATCAGTTCCACAGCCTAGGAGCAAAGGTTGACCACCGTTGTTATGTTGAAGCTGAAGCACTGGCAGGAACATGGACGCTTATATACTGGAGTGAGATGAGGTGCAGCAGATGAAGGCCTTGTCACAGTAACATCATGGAATCTTTGTACAGAGGACATCACAGTCTACTTACTAAACTCTGCCCAACACTTGGGCATAATCTCCTTCCACTAGTGGGTCCCGCTTACCAATGACAATGCTTTTATCTGCTGCACTTCAGCTGACTCCAGTATACAAGAGCCCATCTTTAAATGGGCTCTTGTATACTGAGTTGATGAATTAGACATGTCTAATTCATCAACTCAGAATCATGCTGAAATTTCCTTAAGTCACGCTGGGCTAACTGTGGTGGAATTTTCTCAACTCACGCTCGTTTCATACAAGAGTGTGGCTGTTTGCATTGTACTCATCTGTGAGTCACCTTGCCTCGGGAGAGGTCGTGCAGCCTCGCTCAGGGAGGGGGTCGTGTAGTCTTGCCCTGAGAGGGCAAGACTACGCGACCCCCTCCCTGAGCGAGGCCCTTAGCATTTTTGCCTGCCATATCCCCCACACACGTCACTATACAAGGTATCCCTGATGATCCACCATCATACACGGTAGCCCAGATATTATCATATGTCGTGCCGAATAAGTAAAACTTGCTATTTTGGCTTAAATAGCAACGCTCACTTTGCCATATAAGACAAGCGAAAATTTGTGTATGCAATAATTTCACAAAAATCATTCTGAACCTAACGAAAAAAATATTTTTCATTGTGTTTATTACTAAATTATTGTAAACGTATCTAAAATATATTTAGTTGGATTAGTCTAAATTAAATTACGCTTGTTGTAATAAAGTTGTAATAAGGTGTTTAATTTTTAAATTAACATTAATGAAAAAATATATATTTAAACGTGTATGAGGAAATTTTAGAAAGGACTTAATTTTAAATGAGTTCTTGCTATTTGACCAGTTTTACCTATTATGCACGACATATATATATATATTTACAGACCGTCTTGTTGAAGCATCACTTATACACAACTTTCCTAATATGAGTCTTAGTCCTGGCTTTGTCTCAGTAGATGCTCCAAACTTAACAACACTCGTGGCTTGACCTGATCTTTATGTCCTCTCCTTACCTCCTCCTTTCTTATATTTCGTTGCCTTTCCTTTCTTTGTTGGTGTGCTTTTTGTGTTCGTTCTGTCTTATTTTTCCCCTAGCTGCTTGTTCCACACCCATCACTGGACCTACTGTCTGCTTGTCTCAACTCGACTTACAGGTTGACCTTTATGTCCCTTTTACTCCTCTATTCGTTTTCTCTTGTTCTCTAGAATGTACTCCGCAGCTTACTTCCTTTGTATACTATACTATTACTACTAGTGTCACTACCACTACTTATTGCCACCTCTGCCACTGCTGCATTACTTATACTACTTTTACTACATTCACCTTTATATTTCTACCTCCTCTCGTTCTGCTACTCCCGGCCCCGCCTCCCCTCTCGTATATATACCGATTCCTTTACCTTCGCTCTTCTGTATGACTAGTTAATGGTCCAAGTCTGACCGATACGTCGTCATAAGTTTCATTCTCCTGTGTACTGGGTAATTTGTGCAGACTGTTAGATAAACAAGTTACAGCATTAATGAAAAATCATTAAAAAAGATTTCTGACAGTTTTGCTTTTCGCAGGAAGTTTGATGAATGGCCCGGTTCTTCCCACCTGACCTCCGCCACCTCATCTTATCACCCTGTCACTACAAGGCTGCTTTCTCCCGCCCACCACGTCATTGCGTGCCCACCGCGTCACCGCCTCCGTCATCACCTCCCAGCCACTCGCTTCACTGGGAATCATGACGACATAACCTTCCAGCTGACGATTCACTGGTGATGATGGCGTCATTACCCGTAGAGGCCAATCCTGTTCGAGGGTGGCCGAGGGAGTGTTTACAAGGCTTGTACCAAGGGAATCTCGTTTCTCGCAAGATCGTGACGGTGTAAAGGATGCCCACGAAATGATATATAACCCGGGAACTCAGCAGTTATCGCCATTCAGCTCTCAGGTTCAGGCTGTGAAGATTGTATCAAGTGTGACAAGAGGCGGTGAGGCCCAGACCAGAGAAGCTGCAACACTTGCAGGGCTGCAGATTACTGGTGTGCGTGTGAGGGAGAAACATCCGTGGGGACACTACCCAAAAGAGGACAGCGAGAGTCGTGCCCGGCGCTACCTTGTGAAGGTAGAGCAGCACCTCCGCGCACGACGCAAGCCACAGGAAGCCCCAAGAAAGACTAAAGTTACAGCCATAACAAGCAGTAACCAGATAACCTCCGCCCGCACGCCCGTGGCCGCCCAACGTGACCAGCGCAAAAACAGAGCCGAACGCCAGTCTGAAAGATTACTCTGGCGCCGAGGACAATCCTGGCAATCTAGACAATCTCGGCTGAATTTTTTCAATCAACGCCACAATCATATTCAGGAGAGAGAGAGTACTGCAGCACTCTGTGAGGTCCTCTTCGTTCAGAACTCTGGTCTGTGTGTGCAACGCGTCGCTCCTCCACCCATCTACAGAACCCACCCACACTCACCGGTACTTCCAAAAAGTGTACAGACCTGTGCTGAAATTCCGGCACCTCAAACGTGCCAACCAGAGCCAGAACAGCCAGCTTACCCTCAGCAACTAGACCCTAGAACGCTGTTCTCAGTAACGATCAGAACAGCATCCACTCAACAGCAGCCATCAGGTCAAAATTGCAACAAACAGCCGTGCAGCCGCCTGCCATCAGCCGGCCAGCAGAGCAGCTGTGCGCACGTGTCAACAGTGAGGGAGAGCCTCTCCTCCCCTGACAGAGCCACCTGCCTCCCCACGACAACGCGCAGCCTTCAGTCACTCCCCGGCCGCACCAACAACCACAGCAGCCAGTCTGACTCCTCCCGCCGCTGGTATATAGCGCCGAGCACCACGCACGCTAGGCAGTTACACACGCAATCTCGTACTGGATACACGTGCTCTCCTGACACCAGTGCTCCTGAGCCAAGCCTTGTGAAAGTTGGCAGTGCTAGCGTTCAGTGACAAGCTACAGGCAGCACAGCAGTGAGTGCTGGTGAAGGGCTCCACCTGTAACAGGCTCTCTCATCTTAGCATCAAACTGACACCCCCAGCACAGTCTTCAGTAATGGCTAACGAGACAGAAACTCAGCAAAACGAACTCAACAACTCTCAGGTCAACGGTCAAGTCAAGCACGTCAAGGGCTACAGGAAGAAAGGGCTCGTCAGTGAAAAGGTGCTGCTGGAGCGACTTTCCGACATGAGCATCGAGGACGATCTTCTAAATCCTGGTATTACTCTCAGCTCAGTCGAGGACGACGATGACGATGACTGTCCCATGGAGGAAGGTTCACCAAAGCCCGTCAAAAAAGGGACTCTGCAGAAGAGTTTGTCCCTAGCAGTGCCCTCTCTCAACCTGGCCGAGGAACCCAAGAGACCGCCTCTCTAACCACCGATAGCAGCAGCACTCAGTATGCCCTGAATCTCACCCTCATTGTCCCTTAAGGGATATTCGCAGCTCCTTCCTTGTTGTTTACCTCCACAGAGGCAATCTCACCAGTACCACCCACCTGTAGGACACCTGTTTCTGACGCCTTGGCTGCTGTTTTCGCCTGTCCCTGCTGTAGCTGCGTCAGTAGAGGAGCTGCGTCGCTTCGTCCTGCCGCTAGAACAACGTAGGTCGTCGACTGGGAGGGCTTCGTCCTGCTAGCAGGCAACTGGTGCTGGCCCCTCTCTGTTGGGTGCGAATCTGAAAATTGGCATCGTGGAAAAAAAATGTACGCAAGAGTGTGATTGTGCTAATGTGACTGTAGCTGTAATTTGAAATAAACTGATTTCCACTTTTTTTTTTTTTGGACTAACTGGACGAGTCCGGTAACGAGACTTTCTGTGGATAACCGTCCGAGTACAAGGAGTCTAGTGTCTACTGAATACTAGCGCAGATGTCATTCAGCACTAAAGACATTTGGAACAAGTTTACCCATTCAACTTTCCCAGTAGCCTTTTTCATACAGTTATTTGTTACAAAGTTCAACAGCGGTTTAGAAGTCTGCCAGCTAGATGAAATTTGAGTACCCATATGCTAGATGGTACACCAGAGAAACTCGTCTTAAGGTGTCAAACTACTGCTATAGCCGCCCCTCAGAACTCTTAATTTTACATGTAAACACAGTACATATGTAGAGAGGAAGCTCATCTTTATTGTATATAGTTAGCTTTATTGATTTTTGTCACTGTATTTGACAGGCAGTGTTTTGATGTGAGTTTGTTGTACTGACCATGAGTTCGTTGCCCAGGCGCTGATGAACGCCTCACTCTTCCAGGTCATCTCATGGTCACATTTTGTACTTGGATTAATGTAAGAGCTTGAGTCTAATATGTCAAGAGACTGTGAAGGTCTTGAGAGATCATATCCATTCATTCAAACATTTATTTATCATTTTCATAAATAAAATCATGCCAAAATATGATACATATATGACAAAGATATTTTACTTATGTTACCTCTGGGGAATGAACTAACAGGGCGAAGAATGATTTATTCTTGAGTACCTTATGTATCAAATTGTTTGACAAACTTGTATAAATTGGTTTTGTCTGTCTAGAGAATGGAAGAATGACATGATACCTAGACAGCAATTAAAACTGATGAACTTGGTTACACATTTATCTATGAACAAACATTCTAGGAATCTGAAGCTAGTGCAATACTAAGCAATTACTAGTCAATGATTTTATGCAAGGATCACTTTTTTATGGCCATACACGAGAGTAGCAAACTTATCTAGGCAGGCATTTTTTCAAACCTATTTTTATCGCTGAGAGTTTCAAGTTCTTAGAATCTGTAATATTAAGTATATGATAATTTCTTGTGACAGTTATGGGACTTCAGGTCTTCAGTGGAAGCATCTTTAAACTAAGTCAGGTACAGTTGAAGAAAGTAATATACACTGAGAGGTGTGTATATCAAGTGTATATGCAGAGAGTTTACTTTAATCCCTATTTTAGGAATTAAAGTATCTTTGATTGTAAATAGGTTACATTCAGCCTTAATGACCCTCGTGTAAGAGATATTTTAAACTCAGTTAACCATTTGCAGCAGATTGAGCTAAATCTGATGTAATCAGATTTGCAAAACAGGTCTTCTGTTGCAGGAGCTGCAACTAAGGCTGATTGTTGACACTGATCAGGAAAATGGCAGACGCAAAATCTGATTATAAGAGCCTTACGAACGCATGTTTGGAATGATGTCCAGAAGTTCGAAGAAACAAAAACTTGTCAATATTGGCTCAATTATTTTTATTAAATGACTGACAGTTACAGATGACAAAAAAATATTGTCCTGAAAACTTATTTTCGCTTGAAGAACTAACGTATTAGTCATCTTAATTAATGTATAAAAATTTTAAAAAGACCATAATTAATTAACGAAAACAATATATAGGTAAACGTTTTTTCTCCCTCATTAATGAGCAATTGAAAACTAGAAAAATGAGGCTTCCAAGATGAAGTTCTGGTAAGACATCAGTTGAGAGTTAGCTAAATCCTGTCAGTATTTGAGATAAGAGACAAGGTCAATAAAATTAGACCATTGTAGGTGGTGGTCTGGAGACAGCAGTCGGTGTTTAGTAATGGCTGGTGGATGGCCTTCGAGGAATGTTGAGCTTTGGTGAAAGTTGAACAAGTGGCGTTAATACCGTCAATCAATATCTTTATCCAACAATTTTGAGATAAAAGATTTAATACTTTTCAAATTGAGAAAGCCTTTGTTTTCCTTTTAAGGTGTTGAACACGGGCTACTGAACACTACCTAAGACCAGTTGACTGTTGAACAATTACTTGTTCAGAACCCTATGATATAAAATGGTTTTCGTAGACTTTTAGATTTAGGCGTGTGAATGAGACATTGTCAAAAGCCTTCTGGGGCATTTTTTTTCCTTTCATAACAATGGCGGCAGTAGGAGCTGTCACAGTTAGGCACTGAAAAATGTGTCTTTGTCTCCCACACGGCCAGTGTGATATTTATACATATAAACTATTGTCTACTTAATTATCTGCATGGCATCATCACCTTCATGGAATACATAAACAGTATTATTAAGTAAACATGAGTGTCAAAAATAATGAACTAAGATAAATGAATTATTAAGGGAGTGATAACTTTTTAAATTTATAAAAGACTATTTTTTTCCTCAAGAAAACAGATTAATCTATTTCCCTCGGGAGGAAAACATGCGATTAAAAAAATCCTATTTTTTTTAACACGGCGATTGGCTATATAATTATGGCATATAAGTATGGCACAGCGCTATGGCAGAACTATGGCACAGAACTATAGTATAGAGATAATGTATTGAACTATGGCATAGATCTACGGCACAGCGCTATGGAATATGACTATGTTACAGAACCGTGGTACAGAACTGTGCCATAGAACTATGGCATAGAATTGTTGCATATAATTACTGCACAGACCTCGTGCATAATTTATGGACATACGTTTGGCTGTTATCATAAATATAATTTCAATGGCATTATCGAGAATTTCGAAACTACTGTCGTCTTTATTCTGACCAATAAACATGGTCGGATGTTAGGAACATTCGTCATAATACAGAATGTTTAAATGATAGTTTCCAATAGTTGTTGTGATTATCAGTGGTTTGCCTCTATTCCGCAGTACTGCATCCATTTGGTCCAGTGTACCGCAAGTATATGCTAATCATGCCAGCGAGGAGTATAATATTAGTGCCATGTAATGGTTCAGTGTAGTCGAGACTCGGGTCCAGCCTTCATGTGAACTTCTCTAAGTGTGCTCTCAAGTGGAAGTCTCTTGATATTATACCTCTTTACTGCTTTAAAATCAAAATTAGCGATAACTCGTTGTTGTACCTCGTTCATTATGAACTGGTATCAGAGGCACTTGGAGTATGTACGACTGTGTTAGCGTTGATGCTGCCATCTCCATGTTTAATGCTTCGGAGGCGATGAACCATTTTTTTTTATATCCTGAGGTCCTTCTCGAGAGCCCACTTAGCAGGTTGAGCACTTGAAATCCTGTAGCCAGCCTACTTCCTCTCAATGTACCTTACAATGTCATGTCTGCTTACTCTCAGACGTTTGGTTAACAGGTCAAGATTCTTCCACATTAAGAGTTTTGACACTGTTGTCCTCTGCTCGGCTTATATGTTACTCATGTATAACGGAAAAAAAATTTGTATTTGAGTGTCATGTACTTGATACGTATATTTTGGTTCTTGGGGAAACTTAGTATATTCCTTAATAATGTTGTTCGTGTAAGATTTTATATTTTTTGACGAAAAGTGGAAGAGGGCTGCGTCCCCAAATTTCCACGGCAGAGGCTAATTTTCCATGTTTCCAAACTGCGCCGTCATTGAGTTACCTAATATGTCCTGCATCACCAGCGTGGATTCCGCCCCTGATACCTGTCTGCCAGTGGAAGATGAGGGCTGATACAGACTGACTGCCTCTGGTCCCGTGAGATGATGGGAGATCCTCGCTCCCACCAACGGGCAAAATCTAATCTTCAGTGATTGTGCGGATTTTGGGAAGATCGAAGTGTAATATCCTGTCGCTGGGAGAACCATGTTAAGCTCAGTCTGCAAGATTTGGACACATGACGATATGATTTTTTGTTACACTGTAGCCGATCACTGAAAATCCTCTATCAATCACGGGAATATATGCAGTCTATCAAATATTCTCGAAAATCATATACGTCTGAAACAGCAAGCTCTGTTCTCCTGTAATTTCGTTATCTTTAACGTTAAGAACGTACTGGGTTCCTTCTAAAGCCCACAACTGAGCTCCAGTATTTATTGTGAGATCCAGCTCATTTGTGGGTTTTACGGTTCAGTTACTCTGTACTGTAGGTTATATCTCCACTAAATTTATTCATGTGCCGGAAGGTTTATTCTTTTAAGGGACCTTTGATGTCAGGGTCTTGAGAGTCTTTAAGTAATATAGACACACAGTATTTTCAGCAGTTTGTTAGTCACAATAAACTTTGTAGGACCTCTAGACCAGGCACTACATGGCCTGTACACCAGGCACTGCAGGACCTGACACTAGGCACTGCATAACCTGTGCACTAGGCACTCCAAGAGCTGTACATCATTAAACAATGCAGAACCTGTGCAATCATCTTGCACTGCAGGACATGTGCAATCATCTTGCACTGCAGGATCTGTGCATAATCAGGCCCTGCAGGACCTGTGTATCAGGCACTGCAGGACCTGTGCATCAAGCGCTGCAACACCTGTGCATCAGGCACTGCAACATCTGTGCATCCTCAGGCACTGCAACACCTGTGCATCATCAGGCACTGCAGGACCTGTGCATCAAGCGCTGCAACACCTGTGCATCAGGCACTGCAACACCTGTGCATCATCAGGTACTGCAACACCTGTGCATCATCAGGCACTGCAACACCTGTGCATCAGGCACTGCAACACCTGTCCATCAGGCACTGCAACACCTGTGTATCAGGCACTGCAACGCCTATGCACCAGGCACTGCAACACCTATGCACCAGGCACTGCAGCATAACATCACAGGTACTTCGTATCTTGTAATTCCTTACAGGAAAAAAATAAAAACCTTTCGAGCCGCCTTAAACATGGTATGTTTATTGTCGAGACGTCAAGCCCGCCTAGAAAGGCGAACCTTGTCGGCATTATTATGAGTCTTGAAGAAACCCCATATCTTGCATACCCCTAATCCATCGTGCAGCTGATGTAGACCATTTTAATAACCTGGAGAATGTGAAGGGAGGAATGTGTCAGGGAAGGAGAGCATGTGTTGTGCGGATACAGCACCCGCCACTCTGACGGTACATGTATCATGGAAGTTTGTGACTGTAAACAAAAAAAATTATAATAAAAAAACGAATAATATGACACATTTACTTCGTTTTCATGTCCTTTCCCTATCGTTCTTTTGTGTTCATTTCTTTCTACGAACGAACTTGAAAAATTGGAAAAATCAAGTTGTAATTGTCTTGAGATTTTTTTTTTTTTTTTTTTTAAGCTGTCTTGGGAAATCCTGTAAACTGGTCAAACAGAAAGCTGACATCAATGGAGACACTAGGAAAGTGAATCATTACCAGCACCGTGGCCCAGCACACCGTGGCCCAGCACATCGTGGCTCAGCACACCGTGGCTCAGCACACCGTGGCTCAGCACACCGTGGCCCAGCACACCGTGGCTCAGCACACCGTGGCTCAGCACACCGTGGCTCAGCACACCTTGGCTCAGCACACCTTGGCTTGGCCTTACATTTTTTTCAAGAGTTTCCCCTGAAAATGACATTTGTTATGATGGCGGCTGCTGCTGCTGCTGCTGCTGCTCTCGGTTCCTGCTGCTGGTTCCTGCTGCTGCTGCTCTCGGTTCCTGCTGCTGCTAGCTGCTGCATATGTTGATGAATTTAATGGTGCTGTTTCTCCACTTTCTGCTGCTCTCTCCAATTGGTGCTACTCCCTTATCCTGCTGTTCCCTCCTGTTGTCCTTATTGCTTCGTTTGCTGTAGTTGTTAATGCTCCTTCCTTCCTTCTGCTACTGTAGTTGTTACTGCTGCTACTGCTTTTTGCTTCTGTGCCTGTGTTGTTGTAGTTCCTGCTGCTGCTGCAGCAGGAACTACAGCACAACTGCTTCTGTTGCTGCAACGTGCTCTCTGCAGCTGCTGTTGCTGTTAATAATGTATTGCTTCTGTTAATGCTGCTGAGGCTAATGATAATGTTGCTGCTGCTGTTCGTGTTAGAGCTCCTGTTGTTAGTGCTAATGCCGCTGCAGTTAGTGCTAGTGCTGTTGTTAGTGCTAGTGCTGCTGCTGTTAGTGCTAGTGCTGCTGCTGTTAGTGCTAGTGCTGCTGCTGTTAGTGCTAATGCTGCTGCTATTAGTGCCAGTGCTACTGCTGTTAGTGCTAATGCCGTTTCTGTTAGTGCTAGTTTTTACTGTTTGTGCTGCTGCTGTTAGTGCTAAATATTACGGCTTGTGCTGCTGCTGCTATTACAAGCTAGCTGTTACGCTTGGCCACTGCTGTTATATAGTATTCTTCTGCTGATAACGTCGGCTCCTGGGGTAAAATAATCAGGTTATCCACATAGGCAGTAACCATGGTCATATCGTGAGAAAGATTTACCCACATGCGCCTTAACCCACAGCGACTCTACCAACAGGCGCTGTGGAAAATATTAGCTAAAATAGCCTGATGGGTGATACTTTGTAGCCATTCCAAACTACCGTCTGTAGGAGTTTCCGAAAGAAACGCAACAGAAATTTATATATAATAAGTAAGATCAATAACGTCTTTGACTAATAGTGAATAGTTTCATGATATTTTCATACATATTACAAACACTTTGTATATTTCTACATCTTTCCCTTGTAATTAAGTTTCACTTAGATTCTCACTCTTAATGTGTTATATTTTTCCGTTTTATAATCTAATCATTCTTGTGTTTTTTCTCTCTTTTTTTTCTCATTTCCTCGTGTACAATAGCATATATTATTTTCAATAAAATTTGATCACTTTTCGAAGTGGGATTTAGACAGTTTATGGTGAAAATCTCTTCCTCTTATTTAGTAAATATTAAGTTTAATATTACGATAACTTACATATTATTTTATGCCGATGTATAAAATACATATTTAACATTTTTATTGACCCTTTCAGTTCCAGCTTCATCAGTTGCTTTGTTTCTTTATGGCTAAAATCTACAATTAGATTAACTTTTTCTTTTGACGATCACTCAGCATCAATAATTACTTTGTTAAAATATTAGTTCAAACTGCCGAACTATGTTAGGTAAAGGAAAAAAGAAGAGCAATATGAAACATTTTTTATTTGCTATGTTTCGTCACCAGGGGCTTTATTAACGCCAATTACTGGCTTGATTATAAAGCTGCTGGAACAGCGAGAAGGTTAGCGTAAGTGATGTTCTTAATTGCATTTTATATCCTTTTTCCCTAACAAATATTCGCTTAGTTATCTCATTAGTTCTTCGCATTTCTTAAATTTGTATCTCTCTCAAAGTATATTAACTATGACGACTTCATCTTTACTTGTAATTTTATCCATGAAAAAAAAAAATTTTTGGATTTCCATTTCCTTGGTTTGTATTTGCTTCTTTAACCAGTCTTGCTCCCTCCCTCATTTCTTCCGTATTGTCAGTTATTCTGTCTCCTTCACAACGAGTATTTTTCGTCGGATATAATCTCTTGTAAAATATGTTTTTCCTCTTTAGTTTCAGTCAGACTGTATCAAATTTCTTCTGATTTATGTCCCGTAGTTCTATTCTGCGTGTAGTTACTCCATCTATAGTAGTTTGCAAATGTGTTTATCTCACTACTTTTCTCTCTCTATTTGATGAATTACACACATGTGAAACTTCAAGGTATCAATTTTGTAGACGTTTCGCCAACCAGTGGCTTTATCAATACAATACAGATACAAGGAAGACTGTAGGAGAGAAGGTAATTCGTCCCTAAGGCTAGTAGCAGGTGTTCTGTACCGTAGCCTTGTTTCAGATTCACCACGACGACTGTATAGAGCACCTGCTCCTTGGCCCCGATGGAGTGGACTGTGATTACGTTCTCTCCACAATCTACAATCTTCCTTTTTTGTCTCTGTATTTATATTATTATATGGGTATACACATTACCGACAATATAAACAAAATACGTGTGCAACTCGAGAATACCTTTATTGACGAAACGTTTCACTTGCAGTATACGTTTCATCAGTCAACTATCTCTAGAGATGAATCACACTGCTGGAGACGTCAGCGTTGGTGGAAGAGAAAGTAGACGAAGCGCAAAGGCAGTTTAATTGTAGTCGGTGCATCACTCTTGGTTCAAGATGATCAGTATCTTAGCTTGAAGCAGAAAGAGTAGACCAGAGGCTTTTATACAGGAAAGCGAGGTATAGCAGCTTGGAGATGAGGTCACATGTGAAATGGGCCCACTAGTAGAAATAGGTCATGTTGGTACACTTCATCTTCAGCTACTACTGCTCACCCCCAGCGGCTACACCTCACCTCCAGCGGATTACACCTTATCTTCCTGTTGTCTGATTTTCTTGTACCTACGGTGAATGGGACTGATGTAATCAGTCCATCACAGTGGGTGCAAGATTACATCAAACTACCTTTCAACTTCGTCTTCCAATATATTCGCCTGATGAAGCCTGCAGCGCAGGCCAAAAAGTTCAGCTAATATTCCTAGTGTTGCACATGTGTGTGTATATTGTACTGATAAAGCCAGTGGTGTGTGAAACGTCTAAGATACAAAGATACTCAGAAGTTGCAAGTGCGTCTTAATTCATCAATTTGTTGGTTTTGTATATCGCAATGATGATGATTTCTTATTCGTTTTTATTTTGGAAGTTCTTTTTCCCGTGCTCGTTTCTTGGAGTAAGCATTTGCTTGATCTTGTTACTCTTCCCCGTTGCTATCTTCATTTATTCTCTTATCATTGTTTACTAAGCACTTTATTATCCAATCCCTCTTTGGAAGGGCTTGCCTAGTGTTTAAATCCTCCCAATTTCTTGAAATGTCTAGCACTCTCAAGCAGTTCTTTATGTTTAATCTACGTAATTGCTATTCTTAGCGGCCTGTTAATTTCATTATCATATTGCTTCGAGTCTCCTACATTCCACTGAAAGATTTAAGTGCAAATCCTGTTAAGGAATTTTGTCATACCGTTTATGCGTCCTTATTCGTCGTTGAATTTTTCTGGTTTTATATGCTTTTCTGCACAGCTAAAAAATAACAGACTTTTTTCTTCTGCCAACAGTCTCCCTTAACAGTTTTGAATTGTTTTAAAATCTCCTTAGTTTTTATTTCAACAGTAATGTTTGTTTGCCGTTACCACCTGCTGTTCTATCTCTTGTCTTCTATTCAGTAAATTTAGCAAATCTCCTGTTTTACCAATATTCTTTTCCACCAGTTTCACCTCCTTAAAACTTTTGTTAAGATTGTCAGAGACATTCTAAGTCAGCCACATCTCTTATTCCAGCTCTGTCTTTTTCCTCGTTATATCAGCCTTCTTAGATATGCATAACCATCTTTTGCTGCGGTTTCGTACTCTCCCAGGCATTGTATCTCCAGTGTCACACACATTTTGTTGACTAGTTTATGATCTACATCCTCTCTTCTTTATATCAGCTTTATTTTAGTGTTTTACATTTGACATATTGAAACCATCGTCTCTATTTCAGTTTTCAAAATCGTATTTTATTTTTCAATTAATCCTTCCTGTCTTACCTGCTTACCCTGATACAGTATTAATTTCCTTAAGTTTTCCATATCTGAGTAGTTGAAATTACTCTTCATTGTTTTAAGTGGCCCATTTGAAGATTTGGTTGATGTCCGCTTGGCGTCTTGCGGTGTGTTCGATGGAGGACACTCATGGCAATTCAGGTGTCATCTGCAAAGGAAGACATGGAGCTATGGCTTACTTCTCTATGTCAGATATGAGGATGAAGACTAGGATGGGAGCGAGTACTGTGCCTTGTGGAACAGAACTTTTCCCTGTAGCTGCCTCTGACTTTACTATGTTTACTATTACTCTGTGTTCCATTTGTTAGGAAGTTATAAATCCATCTATCAACTTTTCCTGTTATCCTTTTATCACGCATTTTCTGCGCTATTACACCGTGGTTGCAGTTGTTGAAAGCTTTAGTTTATACTTTATAGCATCCAGGACCTTGTCATAGTGGTCCAGTAATTGGGACAGGAAGGAGCGACCTGCTCTAAACCTGTGTTGCGACTAGGTTGTGTATAATTGATGGGTATCTAGGTGGTTGGCGAACTTGCTTCTCAGAACCCTTTCAAAGATTATGATATGGATGTTAGTGCTATCGTTCTTTAGTTCTTTGCAATTACTTTACTGTTAACTTTGTAGA